GGAACAGTGAGGTGGGAGCTGTTCTGATGATGGAGGCTTTATTTGTAGAGAAGCACTTTGAACTGAACCCATTGAGAGACAAGGAAGCAGGACGGATGCACTTGAGTTCATTAAGGACCTCGGAGGATGGAGCGTCAAGAATGCCGCTTCAGTAGTTGAGTCCGGATGTGATGATGCATTCATCAGAGTAGAAAAAAGGGTTGGAATTGATTTATTCAAGAAGCATGTTGAGGTTTTTATTTAAATGAAACCAGAGGATTAGAATGATCATGTGACACTGCCGCTCTGACTTAGTGACTAGACTAACAGATCAGTTATTTGAACAGAGCACAGAGGCTGTATTTATCGGGCCCTGAAGTATCACGGCCGAGGGCCAGCCGTGTAATGCCATCTGCTTCTCTGTATGAAAATACAGCAGGATCTGACGGTGTGCCTGTGTGTTTTACAACTCTAATATAAAAGCAATTTGCAAAGGCACAGCATTGCTCCATTTTCAACTCAGTGGGTGAGGAGGTACTAGACCCATTTCATGATGGTGTCAGTGCGTGTTATGACACTTTCCCAAAGCGTTTACGGCACAGTCCTGCCTGTACGACACCACGCTCCTGTTTTTCTTCTAGCCAGTCCTATCTCAGTGGAGGTCTTTCAATCTGTTCTGATCGGGCAGAGCCAACGCGGTCTCAAGGCCTCCAGCGTCTTTGTCGTAGGGAGTGATTCATGTGACGCACAGTGGCTTGTTGTTCCACTCCGGAGTTGAAGGAAAGGTATCTACTGATGGCAATGAATAACTTTAAACCAGAGTGCAATTCTCATTCAACATCACCATGGTGATAGATGCTTTTGAAGCATGCTGGGTGCTCGCTCTGAAATACATCGTCAGATAGCAGAAAACCCTCGGGCAGAGATGAAGGACAGGAGATGTTAAAGAGTGTGAACACGGCCTTGTGACTGCAGCCACATACAGCCACAGTCCAGGGCTGCGGCTCAAAGGTTTGTGGGGGGGGGGTGGGTGGGTCCGTGACCGCCCCCTAGTGGTCCGTGAGTATATTGGTAACATTTCACATTTGAAATAAATAAATACATTTAAGTTTTCCGCACTCTCGTGGGAATATCTCCGCAATGGAGCGAGCTTAAGTTTCACTTTTTGATTGCATGATATAGCCCAGCGCAACACCTTCGTCACACATGTTGCCACCTGTTTGTACCATTTTCAGGTGATTTGTAATCTGTTCTAGAAAAACCATGTGTTTTTTTATATTTGTGGAGTTAGGTGGTCCGCGAGTGTTTTTTTATTGGTTAAGTGGTCCTTGGTATGAAAAAGTTTGAGAAACACTGCACTACATAACACTGTGGAAAACCAGCTCTGCATACTAACTACCAATCACTGAGACAGTGGAGCTAGCAGAGATGGTAAAAGTACACACATCATTCACTCCAGTAGAAGTACAGATACTCGTGTTTAAAAATAAAGTAGAAGTACTGACTAGACTTCTTTACTCAAGTAAAAGTAAAGAAGTATGGGCAGAACAAACTTATATTTAAAATTGTCATACTGTCATCGTCATACATACACCGATCGCGTTTTTAGGTTGGAAAAGGCGCACAATGACTCACTGATTGATCACACCAAAAAATGTTTGGAAAATGATAGACGTAGAAAGTACAGGTATTTGTGTTAAAAATGTAAGGAATAAAAGTAGGAAGCTGCCAGAAAAATAAATAGTGGAGTGAAGTACTGATACCAGAAAAAAACCACTAAGTACAACAACAAAGTATTTCACTACTTCCCACCTCCTAGCCAATTGATAATGTTTCCTGTTGTCATATAAACATATTTTCATCCACCGTGCTCCTGGGAGAGTTCATCCTGTGTTTGTGATAATAGGTGTATTAGTATTTTAAATAATTCGATCCGCATTAACATTGTGATTACAGTGTATTGGCTGTACCGCAGGGAGGTTTCCTTTTTTTCTTCTTTTTAACAAGGCTTTATTTACCCTTCAGGGTTAATCAGGGATCTTGACATGTGACTGGCTTTGATCAGCAGAGCAGAGGAAGGTTCTGCAGAGCCTCACCTGAGTGGAGAGGCTGCTGGGAAAACAGAAGAGAAAGGAGGGGGGGTGTCATTGAGCATTCTGCAGACATCTCACAGGCAGGAGGGAAGATTTCAATGCTCGCTTTGAGGACGTTAACTTATTAAGCCAAGGTAACAGCTCGCAGTGAAAACATTAGCGCAGATTAACCATGGCAACGGGTCCTAATCAGATAGCTATGCAGGGAGACTGAGTGGAGATATGAGCCCACTAGCTTCATTAGTTTAGTATTGTTGGGCCCGTGGGAGCAGTGAAATGGTAATGCAAAAACGTTAGCGTTAATATTTTATAATGTTAAACACGAACAATGAAATATACTGGAATGCAGAATGGAATTTATTGAATGCTCACTCAACTATAATACTATAATTGTTTATGTTGATTCAATATTTTGTAAAGCAGTTTGAAAAACACAAACAGTTATCAAATTAGAGTCAATGTACTTATTTAAATACATAATGGGTATATATTCAATTGGTAACCTTTTTACAAAGAATAAGTGTTATTTGTTCTCCTGTTATCTGCATTAAGGAATACTGTAAGACCTAAATGCATTATAAATGCTTTAAAATGCATCATTCTTTACATGTGTATGTCAGCCAAAAGGAAGGCAAGTCAAGAAACAAAGCTTAGCAAGACACAGTCAATAGCTACAGTGTATGTTATCAAATGCTTTTATTGAATTCTTTATACAGTATATGTTCGAAAGTATTCTCTGAGAAATGATTTAGTGATGGAGGCAGTGGAACCAGTCCCCCAAAGTGAGCAGACACAACAGTTGTACGTCATTGAGTCTAAAAAGACTCCATTCCCATTAAATAAAGTACACATAATGAACGCTTGAGTAGCCCTTTTAAATCATTAGGTTCACAAATGCACTAAAAGATTAATCTACTTTCACTCACTATTTATTTGGCTAAGCCAAGACCGGAAGTGAAGGAACGGTTTGGAGGTGGGGTTTAAGGAAAAGTTCACGGTTGATCCGGGTAGTTTTCTGTTCCTGTCAGTCTTTTTTAAGTTATGCCACATCAAACAAGGCCCGTGCCTCGGGTATCATCTCATCGCTTCAATGCGGTGCCAAAGTTGCTTGTTTCTTTTCTTTCTAGCCTTTCAATCCCTTGACATCCACACTTAGCCTTACGGCCCGTCCACACAGCGGCTTTGGAAAAAGCTTGCCGGCGGGCGTGTCTGAAGCTCGACCAACAACCAATCACATGAATCTCCCGCCCCTGACACACAAGCAGCGGTTTGATTGGCTAGAGCTTGTACTGGCATATGATTTGATTGGCTGACGCTTCCACCGAAAGCTTCAGAAGCTTCAAAAGTTGAACATTGCTCAACTTTTGCAGCCTGAAATGCCAGGAATGCTCCGCTCTGCTTCCCACAATGCAGTTCGGCGAAAAGTGACGTCACCCCATTCAAAGTCAATGGGCAGAAGCTTCCAACGCCGCTGTGTGGACGGGCCGTTAGCCTTGTGTGGCGGAGTTAAACTCATGTAATGCCGTCACAGCTGTTTATTTAAAAAATATTGAAAAAAGTCTACCCAATCATGATCAAAGACCAGAACGATCTGCTCAATGTGAAGCAAATAATATGAAGAAACAAATGCCTAACAGGCTGGATCTGTGTACAGCTACTGCACGCTAAAAGGTTAACCATGTGCTATAGTCATTCAAACACACAGTAGACTGAGTCATTAAGGAAAACAGATTAATGACATTTGGTTTGTGTTATTATGCTTTCAAAATATTAAATACCTGCATTTGCTAAATGTATACTTTTTACAGGTTCTTCATTTCTGTATATGAGTAAATAAAATATGATACATATTGGTGGTCATGCAACAACATTCTGTTAAAATGATGAATTGTTATTAACCATCTGAGTCTGCTATTAGCTAGATCTCGAGCATTGCCACCAACATGAGTCTGTAAGAAGCATAACTGTAGCAGTGGGTACATTGAGGTGCTGTTCAATAAAGAAGGCATTTATTGGATTTTCCTGAGTTTGAGTACTTGTGTTTAAAATATAAATAAAAGCATCACAGAGCAATACAGTATGTTCGCATTCAGCAGCTGAACCAACACCTATCATCCCCCAAGGTTTTTTATAGTCTGTGATCAATAAACCAATATTATATCATTAGCCCACAAATGTTATATTCAATCTTTCTAATTACATGTAAAAATATAACCTACATTTGACTGTATGATATTCCTGTTCCTTTATTTGAAACGTTCTATTTGTTTGACGTAACATGCATTGACTGTGAAAACAACATGTCTTTTTGTATCCGACTGCTCTTGACCACTCAGTGTATCTCTCTTACCTACTGTAAGAGCCAACACAAGAACACATTGGTGAATCCCATAAGTCATAGGTTTTACAAAATGAGAACAAAGCGTGGGTACAAAGAAAACCAAGAGGAGATTTGGTCTTGTGTTTCTGAATCTTTCAAACACTAAGCATGGTGAGTTTAGGAAAGAACAACAGCATATTATCTATATACGATTATGGAAGTAAACAGTTGTTTCTCTACACAACGCTGACCTTTTGTCCATTATTGCTTCAGGGGGTAGTAAATAAGATACGATATACTTTATTGATCCCAAATTGGAATTGTTTTCTTTCCAGCAGCATGATAAAACAAGGCATTGCACATCATTTGAAAATAAAAAATAAACAAATAGAAACATCTCAAAATAGAAAATGCTATATATCCAAGTTGACCGTGAAAACAAAAAAAGGTGGACTATCAGTCAAGCAAACACTATGAAGGGCCAATTACAGGTAACACAATGTTAAAGTTGTATATTATTTACAAATCAGATGAAAAAGCTATCAATAATCAACACGGTGCTCTATGTTAAGTTGCTCACGCTGAACCCGTGTGTTTTGGTCCTTCAGGCTCTCCGTACCGAGATAAGATCACTATAGCCATCCTGCAGCTTCAGGAGGAGGGCAAGCTGCACATGATGAAGGAGAAGTGGTGGAGAGGAAACGGCTGTCCGGAGGAGGATAGCAAGGAGGCCAGCGCCCTGGGGGTGCAGAACATCGGGGGCATCTTCATCGTGCTGGCTGCCGGACTCGTCCTCTCCGTGTTCGTGGCCGTGGGGGAGTTCCTCTACAAGTCCAAACAGAACGCACAACTTGAGAAGGTAAGAAATACTCCTGACTTCTTTGTTACTTACAACAATGATAGCAGAATTTCTTACTATAGTCACATATGCTATGAAATGCATTGTCTCATAGCAAATACATGCAAATGCTAACAAAATGAAACAAAATATATGCTAAATAATCACACTATAATTACATTGCTATATCATATGCAGCAAGATAAGGGTTGGTTTCTTTGCATTTATTCACTTAGGCCCAATGGCGACAACGAGATAAGAAACGTGAGGAATTCTGCTGTCACCATGGATCCAAGCTAGACTTTAACCACCATCTCAAATGACCTCAAGAAAAACTCCAGAAACTTGTTTTCTGTTGTAATCTAACATGATCTAAAACTTCCCAAAACTATTGAACTGTTTTTATTTGTTGACACCCCCGAGGGAATGGGAACACTAAGAGCAGTTTAATAAAAGGAAGTTTGAAATGCTGGCGGTAATATACAGTTGGATCACAGGCCCTTTGCTCTGCTGCATGACCCATGACCTCTACACACACACACCCACTAACACCCCCCCCCCCCCACTGCTGCTGCTGCTGTCCATCTCCATCTCCTGCTATCAATGATGCTCACTGTGCACATCTGAGGCATTCAGCTCATCCACTAGAGCTCCCAACACCATCCTGACACTGAGAATGTGCTGATAGAGACGTCAGAGAAATAATTGGGGCAAGTAGTGAACATACATAATGGGTGAAATAGTGAAATATGTACTTAGGTTGTCATAAATGCTCAGTTTCACATACTCACTTGTTGTAGGACAATAATCATAATATATATCTTAATCCAGACCTATTCAGCTGCCGATCATACACGGCAAAAACTGAAACGTTGACTTTAAATAAATGTAATTTTCTCAACAAATGTCACATTAGGTTAGTTGAAAGCAATAATATTAAGTTGAACCCAACATTGTATATTTAAAATTAATATTATTGCTTTCAACTAACCGAATAGAGTTATGTGAAATCTGACACAATACATTCAGTTAAAGTCATGGGTTAAGTTTCTTCAGAGTATTTAAACTGCTTCACTCATTTGAAGCCATGTGTTGTATAGGCTAGATGCAGCTGATCAAATGGATTATAATACACACAAATGTTGTGTGAAATTAATCATTTTGTACATAACGTATGTCCTCAAACGTGACACTGTAAATGTATACTCATTTTCGTCACAATTGAAGGATATATATACTTAAACGTTTTTATATGAGTGTTTTTTGCATTAGCAGATCAAATAGCAGCTATTTTATACTCGGCTGAAAGACTTATGGTGAAACAGTAGAAGCACTTTAGAAGCACATTCAAAGCTAACTGTTAGCATTAAGCTATGCCAAGAAATAAAACAAATGTGACACTTTTATTATGTTTATTTATTTGTATCATCATTGTTAGTCATTACTGTGGACAGAGCGGCATCATGCCAACAATATACATGTATCATGTTTGGAGGTGGAGAAAGCCATGTGTTTTTTAGTGGAGACAAATAAGAAACAAACACAACAGAAGGAACTCTAGGTTATTTTAGATTAAGAAAATGCACATTCTAAAAAAACATAATAAGGTAGTTAATATATTGCGTACTGAATTAATAGTGTTATAACTTTCTGCATAAGCACATGACTTATATATACAAGTTGTATACATGATGTTATATGCTGCTGACCAGTTTAAATACTGCACAACATGTTAACTTAGTATATTTAGTATATCTAGGTCATTTTATACAACTTAATCAAAACATTTTTAGGAAGCTTTTTGTATATATTCTAATATCAAACTGTCAGAGGCGTGGACTGATTCTTAAGACATATCTAAATGTTATACAATATTTAAAGGGAGATTACCCAAAGAATAGTTATCCGATAGTTTAAATAGACATGTTGTTCTGTCTCTCTAGAAAAAAGAAGCATCCATTATATTCTGTGGAGCTCCACGCCACTTATCCTGGAGAGTCCACAAACAGCCTCCTCTTACATCTGATGCATTGATTGTACAGAGTTCAGCGTGGCCCACTCACCCTGTATCCATTGATCAGATGCCCCTAGCGTGTCATTATGAACAGTGAAAACACTCAGATATGCTAACATGTAATAAAACATACATATCGTTTCAATACTGTGAAGGCCATGGCCCCAGACTTACTCATGTTACTTTATCACAGTAATGTTTACCTGCTTATGGGTCTATGAGATCATTCTATTACCATTATTAAAAAGTGACCGTGAAAAGGCATTTCTTGAAGAAAATACATCTAAAACATCTTAGATGATGATTGTATTTGTGTAAGTGTTTCCCTCTACACAGTTGTGCAAAATAAGATACGTAAAAAAATGTGTATATTGATTAAATCTATTCAAATATTGGATAAATATGTTTTCTTAATGGAAAAAAAACGATTTACAAATGTGCTATAAGTCTTAAACATGGATTACTGTTGTTAATAAAAGTACAACTCTACATTTTAACTGCAATTAGAAATAGCTTTGTATGAAATTGAAATTGTTATCTTGGTGTTAACGGTGAAATAAGAATTCAGGTCCCAGAAAAAGGGTATGTACGTGATTTCCGTATTCAAGATTTGCATGTTCCATGTGGTGTTCACGTTGAAGAAACACATTGTACAAGTGCATGAACGACTGCGCAACTCAAGTATGAATTCATTCAGAGGGATGGCCAAATAGAAGACTGGTCAAATGTAGCAGGACAATCCCAGGCATAGCATCAGCAACCCAACATATTTCTGAAACATACAACAGGAAATGTAGGTGGGCAAAACACTTCAAGGGGACATTATATGGTGCTTCAGAGAAATATAATCTGCCCCTGATAAGCTTATTGTCCGTTTTTGTATATCCGTCAGTACGGTTCCCCTCAAGCATCATATCATGTACACCATGTGTGGTACATGGGGATTGGTGGTACTTCCACTGGTGTTTTCTAAGATTGGTGCAGGAGTCATGTAAGCATCAGTGTTCCCAAACATAATAACATGTTTGTTCATCCAACAATATAATGGAGCAGGTTATAATGGAGCATGTACAGTATGAGGGTGAGCTCCATAGCAACAGTGCTCCAGCACACGGTAATTCCTACACAATGTAATCCATCTATTCAGAGCGAGGTAAATAAAGACGGAAAGGATAAATAGACCCAGCAGGCACCTCGCAGGCAGAACTGATAGTCTTTTTACATTCTCAAGGTTTCTTCATTCAATTGACAACAACCCCCCTGTTTTAAACCTTCTACAACACATTGCTTGCACTCTTGTTTCCCGCACAAATGCCCCCACCATCACATGTTATGCACTCTGCAATGTGGACATGCCCTGGATTGGAGCACATGGAAGTGGGCAGAAATTGACAACGTCACATGTTTGCTTTGGATTGCTCACAGTGATTTAATTAGTTTGTACACAATACAAGTATCCATAGACTAGAATAAAGTAGGGTTCAACTTCCAATTTTTCGAAAGCTGTTTAGAAGCTGCTCGTGTGCTAAAAAAACGCTTCTGACTGAAAATACTTATTTAGCCCATCATGGAGGACCAAAGCTCTCCACTGAAACCCAGACAAATGAGTTTGAGATGGTATTCAGCTAGTTAATGGAAGCTTCATTTCTGATTCTTAATTCCAGATTTAGCTTCTGGTCTATGTAGACCACAATATTTAAATAAAAGAAATAAAAAAAGAAATAAACAATGGCTAAGGTTGTATTCTTGCTGAGGTTGAATAAAGGTCATGATTACAGTTTTCAAATAGCAGACATTAGCTGTTGGATTGAGAGAGAGCATGAACACTGTTGTACACCTCGTCCACATTGCTACTGTTTCCTGCGTACGCACTAAATGATGGCACAGGAACCAAAAAGTGGACAGCAGATTAGCCACAATCTTTAGGCAAAATGATTTGGTGCCCAATCAATACGAGCATCCATCACCAAAAGCAATGCTTACCCCTTTTCAGCAGGGTTAGGGTCAGGGTGAGGGTTAGGGTTAGGGTTAGGGTCAGGGTCAGGGTTAGGGTGAGGGTCAGGGTTAGGGTCAGGGTTAGGGTTAGGGTCAGGGTTACAGTATAACAAAAGGTAAGACATTATTGCTGGGGATATAAAGGTTCAGTACTAACCAGCCCTATGACTGATGGTAGAAGTTGGATTAGAGGTGCTTACATAGGTTACCACAGTTGGGTACAAAGTAAGTATTGTGGCCATGAAAGACATGTTCCCCTAGTAAACACACACCTATATTCCAAAAGAGTACATTCTAGGAATACATGTATGGATGTTTCAGAAAACAATTATACAATACAATTATAATTTACAAAGATTTTGTACAGTTTTGGACTGGACGGAAAGAATTATAACAGCTGATTATGACTCAGAATTGTTCATTTAAAATATTATTAAAAAGCCAATAATTAAGAAAACAAGATGTGTGTCCAACCCTAACCTCAGCCTGATTTTAGTCCATACATCCATTTAGAAAATAAGATCCACTATGATGTGTAGTTTATGCATCTCACAGTCCAGTGCTAATCTTTATCAGGCCAATCTGTGAAATTATCTTTTTTTATTTATTGTGTAAATCAACCATATATTTTTGTTGCATTGCTCCAGACTCCACATCATTGAATACCACCTACTTTTCCATTGTTTTCTAACTGAAAGTGTCAAGTTGAAAAATGTGGTGCTAAGCATCTCTTTGTTGTGTTTCACATGCTTGATAGCGCACACCCTGCAATTTGCATTTTATAATTACTTCTGTAACATACAGTAAGGAGCAAAAATAGCAGCTAGTCATTCATATAAAAGGATGAGCCACACAGCCTCTTATACAGTAGAGCAACTGTTAATAGTTGTATAAAGGTTTAATAGACATGTTATTGAATATAGTATGTGTTTGAGAGATTACTGCATTTACTAAACAGATTGTAATGCCACAAGATGAGCGTATTGTTAAAGACACTTGTTAAACATTTTAATAAAAGTATTAATAAACATTTGATAACTTTACCAACTTTAGACTTCTTTAGGCTTGTCATTTTGATTAATCCATGACTATGACACTTTTATTTTCTTGCCTCAATCATGTTCCCTGTACAATATATAAGTACATTTCATCATCGCTGCTACACGCTCGCATGTTGTCTTTACAGACGTTTGTGAAATATTCATGTTTGCCTTCAAATCCATAAACAGATAAGAGGATAAATCCAATACATGTCTGTGCACCTACTACAGAGGTTACTCTGGGAACTGTTTGGCATAGTGTATTGTGAAGACTGTAAAGAAAGCTAGCTATCAAAAGTGAAAAACTATTCAAATTGCAATTTTCCGCAGATTTAAACACATCTCTTTCCCAATGGTAATCAATGGGAAAACGCCCAATGACGTTAGACAGATGGAAGTTGTAATCCCACTGTTTGGCCACTACGAAAATGTGCTTGAATGTCCATAACACTTCCTAGGGACTTTGGTTTTACAAACTATAACTGCCTTACAAGAAATAGTAGGTGTCCAAACTTTAAATAAAGTTTCTTGCCACAGATCCATCAGTATCCTTTGGCGAAATGATCATAAGTCTCTCCCAGTACACTCAATTTGTGATCATTCTTCCAGACATCATATCTCCGCCTGGCTCAGGTGACACTATCATCTCTGTAATGTTTATTTACAAGAACATGTCATTAAATATAACAGGATGTTAGGCTATATGCATTTACAAAAGAAATGTATTGACTGGGAGCAAACTGTTAATTTCAACTGAAACCAAAGATGGAGTTAAAATGTTTCTTAGTAGCCTGGACAATAGATGTTGACCTCACAGGCCAGCACCAGATGATCAATCTCCCCCGGCTAACAGTCCCTCACAATTTACAAAATGTTGATTGAATTTTCAAGGAATTATTGTAAAATGAATTGATAAACTGAACATATTTTCTAAATCTGAATGGTTAATTATCACCTACATGACATCGAACCAAAATGTTTTGACAAAAAAACAATTACAGTTAAAATGAAAACCGCTGTGTTTTTCGCTAACCTCCATAAATACATTTCTATTATATTTCTCATATGTTGTTAGCAGGCAAGCTTGCCACCCAGACTGCAGGAGTCATCTAAATCTTGGTTTTCTGGGTAAACAACATACAACATGTTGACAGCGTTGGCTTTGAAGGAGCTAAGCTAGCGCCTATAAAGCTACTTCAGCTAGCTAGCTACACTGATAAATGCAACACTTTTGTTTTTGCTCCCATTTTTCATGAGATGAACTCAAAGATCTAAAACATTTTCTATATACACAAAATAACCATTTCTCTCAAATATTGTTCAGAAATCTGAAAAAATCTGTGATAGTGAGCACTTCTCCTTTGCCGAGATAATCCATCCCACCTCACAGGTGTGGCATATCAAGATGCTGATTAGACAGCATGATTATTGCACAGGTGTGCCTTAGGCTGGCCACAATAAAAGGCCACTCTGAAACGTGCAGTTTTGCTTTGTTGGGGGGGTCCGAAAACCAGTCAGTATCTGGTGTGACCACCATTTGCCTCACGCAGTGCAACACATCTCCTTCGCATAGAGTTGATCAGGTTGTTGATTGTGGCCTGTGGAATGTTGGTCCACTCCTCTTCAATGGCTGTGCCAAGTTGCTGGATATTGGCAGGAACTGGAACACGCTGTCGTATACGCCGATCCAGAGCATCCCAAACATGCTCAATGGGTGGCATGTCCGGTGACTATGCTGGCCATGCAAGAACTGGGATGTTTTCAGCCTCCAGGAATTGTGTACAGATCCTTGCAACATGGGGCCGTGCATTATCATGCTGCAACATGAGGTGATGGTCGTGGATGAATGGCACAACAATGGCCTTTTATTGTGACCAGCCTAAGGCACACCTGTGCAATAATCATGCTGTCTAATCAGCATCTTGATATGCCACACCTGTGAGGTGGGATGGATTATCTCGGCAAAGGAGAAGTGCTCACTATCACAGATTTTTTCAGATTTCTGAACAATATTTGAGAGAAATGGTTATTTTGTGTATATAGAAAATGTTTTAGATCTTTGAGTTCATCTCATGAAAAATGGGAGCAAAAACAAAAGTGTTGCATTTATCAGTGTAGCTAGCTAGCTGAAGTAGCTTTATAGGCGCTAGCTTAGCTCCTTCAAAGCCAACGCTGTCAACATGTTGTATGTTGTTTACCCAGAAAACCAAGATTTAGATGACTCCTGCAGTCTGGGTGGCAAGCTTGCCTGCTAACAACATATGAGAAATATAATAGAAATGTATTTATGGAGGTTAGCGAAAAACACAGCGGTTTTCATTTTAACTGTAATTGTTTTTTTGTCAAAACATTTTGGTTCGATGTCATGTAGGTGATAATTAACCATTCAGATTTAGAAAATATGTTCAGTTTATCAATTCATTTTACAATAATTCCTTGAAAATTCAATCAACATTTTGTAA